TCATGTTATATTTAAAGATATGATTTTATCATATTGTTTTATGAGAATATACAATTGTAATACTAAGTATGGATGGATTGTTTGAAATAGGATATGCTTAAGTTATCTAATTGCTGAATGCGGCTACGTATCTATATTACATTTTTGGTAGGTTACTCTCAAGTTGTTAAACTGATTGGGTAAAAATTAAATAGAATTATGATCATTTTCAATTTAACTAATACCAAAATTTGACTTTATTTCGATTTTAAGACATTTAACTACACCTTGGTTTTAGCGTATCACGTCGGGCAGTTAAAAATTTAAGGTTTAAACGGGAAAAAAATTAAACAAATTTAAATTTAAGTATAACCTCACGTTGAGGTACGTGATGTCCCTATGTTTACGTAAACATCGTTGCGTCCTTATTCACGTCCGATCGTAGTTACTTCGTTGACATCAGAATAACCTCCCACGATCTGATAGCAAGAATATTCTTCGCCTCGCAGTGCTTTGGTGCTGGGAACTTAATACCGTTGTAATAAGATAACAATATCTAAAAGGCTGTTGTAAAGTCTTCACAGATCTAAAAGGAAACAAACTGTAAGAATAGATTTTTATGAAATTTTCAATGTTACTTTTTTTTTATTAATTTAAATTCTTTTTCAAGGATGTAAAATAACAAGACAGGATAAGAATAATAGACAATACTTATTTATTCAAAATCAAAAGATTTGCTTTCTTTATGAACTTTCACTTTTACTTACTATTATATTATACGTTTTTAAATACCTTATAAAACAGTATACATATCTCAATAATCACAAATGTATGTATGTATTTATTGTAATGTGTTCAAAGTACATTGCAACACTGATTACGTATCCCCTGCAAAGTTCTCGCATCGAGGCGTGGGCCGCAGATCCCACAGTCTGCCATTCGCGGCGTTACGCAAACCGACGTTCCCTTGTAATTGATTATGGCGGTCCAAAATTGGCCTTAAAAAAGTAACCCGATCCGCGAAAATGGCCACCGTAGCAAAAACCAACCTCACCGCTCTCCAAACCGGGCGCCGGAACGACGGGACTACGATGACCCGTCGCGGTCCCCGGCAAAGTGTCGTGCTATAACCGTCAGACATCATTCTATACTACCTTACGCCTCTTTCACACGAAGGCTGTGATCGCAACAGGGCAGTTCAATACTGATATTGTTTAAATGCTGACTTAACAACACTGTTTTTACAGTGAGTAAATAATCAATAGGCGTACTACAATATCTATTGCTCTGTCACAACGTTTTACCACCGCGTGCAATAAAACTACCTTGAGTTTCCTATGCCGAAACATTTATAAAAATACATTCGTCTGCCTTATTCATTTTAAATCATATGTATTTGTACTCTTTCGTAGACAACTGTGAACTAAAATATTATTTCTTTATCATTAAATGAGACGTATTCCTTACGTTCATGTCGCAATAAAAAACCGAATCCCGCCCTCGTCCGGTAACAGATTTATGGTGTTATATAAATTGTGAATCGTTCTTCACATTTCAGCTTCATGTTACATGGGGTGACGCGCCCCATTCGAACTTTAAATCGCCGGGTTCCATACACATGCAATGTATCTATCTAAACGTATTCCTTCTTATACACATAATTAAAAAAACCATTAAAATAAATTTTAATCCTTCGACGAATTCATAGTTTCTGATATTTCTCAAAAAATTGGGAAGGGTCTTCTTAATTACTATTTTTTAACGACCGTAACTAAGAGCTTTGTGTAACTGTACAGTAATAAACCAATAAAGTCATGAATCAGACAGCCGATAAAATATTTATTATAGAAACAATACTCGAGTTATATCAATGCCTAGAAGGCCCGAGGGTGTAATTTAATAAATCCATAATTACGAGCGAACTCTTAAAAGGTTTGTATTACAGGTCTGATATATTATTACCTATTGTTATCAATGTTAACGTCAAAATGTTTACCAATAGAGGCAATTTAATAGAACATAATGTAATAGAAGATACGATAAATACTTTGAACAAAACATAAAGTAGTTACCTGTCCATCACATCTTTTAGATTGTATAATCTACAAATACGAGTATATAGTATATAGGTACATATAATAATAGTCCTAAATTCGGAATAAAAGTATTAGGATACCTAATACATTGACAGCTCCTGAGTTCAACGTGCCTTAATTACCAAACGACCGATGAAGCCTAATTATCCCTTTATAACGGAACTAGCTGTTGGTGACGACTTCGTCTGCGTGGTGTTAAAATTAGAAAAATACGGCCTATGTTACTCTTGCTATAATGAAGAATTTTTGGAATCGGTCCAGTAGTTTTTAAATTATTTCAATACATACAAAAATCCAAAAATAGAAATCTTCTCTTTAAAATGTTAGTATAGATTAGTACAGAAGTGTAGGTAACATTCGATTTAGTAGAGATATAAACGTTTATTTCAGTTACATTTGCCTATCACGTATAAGGAAACAATTTTAAAATGAAGGCTCCCAGTGTAGCATTATAAACAAGTCAGTAAACATCTTCGCAAGTGTTGCTTTGAGCTCGGGCGCGCCGTCGGTTCGCGTTACCTCAATATTTTTATGATCTTTCACTGCGTTTATTAACACTTCGGCACAAGTCGTTGTCAAGTTCAACGAACTATATCTATTTATTACATCATATAATTCTAATTCACAATAACTAAATTCTATAAGCAACCTTGACAATTTTGACAAATGTCTACTAGAAAAACAGAAATGTAAATCCGCTAAATCAAATCTACCTAAACCATTTAAACAGCTGGAACTCTAATATTAGTTATCCTTGTTTTTTTCATTTATTTTAACTATAAAAATATTCAATATCAATATTTACTATTAACTGTTACAGACGTACTTTTAAAGTAAAAAACCAATAATTCATATTTTAATTACAAAGCAACAAATGTTCTGAATCGGAATCGGAATAATTACGCGTAAATGAACCGATTTAATATTAATCATTATAATAAACGGAATGTACGAAATGCAAAATTCAAAAAGGGAATTAATATAAATCATTTTACTTTTAAAATTTTTAATCATTATATTGCATCTATTTGGAAATAAATTGCTATATTAAAAATGTAACTAGCAATGTTTTCTTTAAATTTGAAGTCTATCAGAATGTTCTGCCGTTGAGTGCTGGTTAAGCGGCGGAGTAAACATCGGTTCATTGAAATGTGGCTAGTATGATGAACTTTGGATTACGTCGGACACGCGAGCGGTTTTGCGAACACGTGAGAAACCAGTTTGCGCTACTTTAGATGAGGAACAGGGTTTGTTTTTGCCCGAATAAAAAAACAGTTTTGACGTACTTGATGACGACCTCTTTTAGTCAAAACTACAGCAACAATTTCTGACAAGTTAAGTACTGGTTAGCATTCTTCTATCATGTGTTATTTGGAAGTAATGCATATAACATTAAAAACAGTAAAGATTTGTATTATTGTAAGCTTTGAAATAATTTAAAAACTGCAAGAACGATTTCTAAAATTCTTGCACAATTGAAAAGCTACGTTATCACTGAGTAACAAAGGCAATAATTGCACGCGAACGAAGTCACGAGCAAAAGCTAGTGTGCAATATTAGCCCGAAGAATTGTATTTTCATTTTTCATTCATACAAAATTTTCATATAAAATCCTGTGGCACCTTGTTAAGTGTATTGAGTCATTTGGTTCCGATTGGAATAACATACGAATTGGCAGAAGAAGTGTAATCAATTGATCGTGAAATGTAATCAGTAATCATTGATAAGTCGGTTGAGAACCAGTTCAACCGTGGATATGACGATTGTTACTGGCTTATATCTATTGTCTCGTCTTCTGTTAAGGTGACAAAAAAACTCGTGTTTTACACTCGTTTCGTTTAATCAATTCAATCGATATCATTGTGTTTTGATTTCTATCTATTATAGTTTTTAACTTTATTCAATTTTCTTTTGTTACAAGTAACAAAAGAAAATGTGAATGTCCTAGTGTTTTAAATAGTCAAAAGAATTGTTTTCATGTGTGTGGTAAAGCCAGTTCTATGTATTAAGCGGAAAATTTGCTTTAAGGATTTACATCATGGTCTTCACCAGAAGGACCCCCTAGTGACGCCAGAAACTTAAAATAGCTATAAAAACTACCCCCCCCCCCC